TCTGAATATGTCTTAGTATGTGCTGTCACCATGGATTGCATTGGAAGTGGTAGATTAGAATTAACTTGCTAGGATTCTAATTATGCTTCAATGGGATTACAAATATAACTTCCTTTGCTGGATTTTTTTTTTTTATCGTTACCGGGGATCGAACTCACAACCACCTGCTTGCGAGGCAGGTGCTTATGCCACGGAGCTAAATACAGCCCCCACAAATACAACTTTCTAAATTGTGAGGAGGACTAAAAAAGGGATTACAATATTCAGTATTTGAACTACAATAGACAAATCAGCTTGACAAAATCAATGAAATTTTAGAACTGAACCAAAGTTTTGAACAGGTGGACTTAGTAAATGTGTACAGTTTTCCATTCCACAACATTAGAATATACATTCTTCTCATCTGCACACGGGACATTCTCCAAAATAGACCACATACTAATTCACAGAACATGTCTAAGCAAATACAAAGGAATTGAAGTAATCCTGTGCATATTATCAGACCGTAGTTCAATGAACTTGGAAGTTAATGGCAAATGAAACCACAAGGATTTCATATGCATGTGGCAGTCATTTAGCCCTCCTGAACAATGAGTCTCAGAGAACATTAAAGGAGAAATGAGTTTCTACAATTAAATAATAGTGCCAGCACGATGTACGGGAACTTATGAGACACAATGAAATAGTCCTAATGAGGGAAATCTATAGCAGTGAACACCTATATCAGGAAAAGAAACCATACTCAAATAAACAAACTAATGTTGAATCTCAAGTTGCTAGAAAAATAACAGCAAGTCAAGCTGAAAGCTCCTATGAGGGAGGAAATTATAAAGATTAGCAAAGAAAGTAATGCAATGGAGACTAAAAAAACAATACAAAGACTCAATGAAGAGTTGGTTCTTTGAAAGATTAAATAAAATTGACAAACCTTTAGCCAACCTTATCAGAAAAAGGAAGGAAAATGCTCAAATCCATTCAATTAGGAATGAAAGGGGTAAAATTATGACATGTTAAGAAATTCAGAAGATCATCACTAGCTACTTAGAACCTGTATTGTAAAAAGATGGAAAACACAAGAAATGGATAGATTTCTAGGCACATATGAATTAGCAAAGTTGACTCAAGAAGATAGGAAAATTCTAAATCAGTGTTAGTGAAGTTGAAGATATAATTTAAAACCTACTAACAAAGAAAAGCCCATACCCTGATGGATTCACTGCTCAATTCCACAAGAAATTTAGAGAAGACCTAATGCTACTACTTCTCAAACTCTTCAATGAAACTGAAAGGGAAACAGTACTCCCAAATTCATTCCTGGAAGCAAGCATTACCCTGATAACCAAATCCAGAGAATGAGCCAATCAAAAAATAGATATACAGGCCAGTCTTCTCTAATGAAAAAATACACCAAAAGTCCTCAGTAACATATGGGCAAACAGGATGCCACAAATCATCATCAAGAAGATTATGTACCTTGACCAAGTAGATTTCATCCCAGGCATGCAGGGATGTTCAGCATACACAGATCAATAAATGTATACACAGTATTACCAGAGCCGGGGCAAAAACCTTATGACCACTGGCTGCAGAAAAAACATCTGTTGAAGTCTAACACTCATGCTTGATAAAAACCCTACAGAAAATTGAAACAGATAGTCTACATTTCAATATGATAAAAGCCATCTGTGACAAACCAACAGGCAGCATCATACTAAATGAATAAAACCTAAAAGCTTTCACTCTAAAAGTAAAAATCAAGATCAGGATATCCACTGTCACCACTCTTATTCAGTGTAACTCTGCAAACATTAGCCAGAGCAATTAGACAAGAGAAAAAAATAAATAAGGATAAGAAAGGAAGAAGTTAAATTACCATTATTTGCAGATGATATGATATTCTACATAGAAGACCACAAAAATGCTGTCAAAAGACTAATAGAATTAATAACCAAATTCAGTAGCATAGCTGGCTATATAGTTGACACCCAAAAATCAGTAGCATTCCTGTACATAAGTGACAAAACTCACTGGGAGAAAAGTTAGGGAGACAACATCGTTCACAATAGCATTCAAAAATAAAAGTACCTAATTTAATAAAGTAAAAGACTCCTACGTTGAAAATTACAGTACTCCGAAAAAGGAGATTGAAGAAGGTATCAGAAAATGAAAAGATATCCCTTGTTCTTAAGTAGGAAGAACCAATATAGTGAAAATGGCCACACTTACAAAATTGTTGCACAGATATGCAATCTTGATCAAAGTTCCAACAGCATTTCTCACAAAATTAGAGAAAACAATCCTAAAAGTCATTTAGAGTCAGAAGAGACCTAGAATACCAAAGGGCAGTTCTGGGCAACAAAGGCAAGACCGGAGGCATCACAATTCTTGACTTGAAACTGTACTACAGAGTTTCTGTGGATAAAAACAACACAAAACTTGCAAAATTTTTTTTAAAAATAAGGGTCAATGGAACAGATTAGAAGAGTCTTAAATAATTCCAAACATACTCAGCCACCTTATTTTTGACAGAGAAGCCAAACACCTTCACTGGAAGAAAAATAGCTTCTTTAATTAGTGGTGCTGGAAAAACTGACTGTCTGTATGCCTAAGATTAAAACCACACCCATATCGTTCACTATGCACTAAACTAACATCAAATAGATCACAGACCTAAGTATTAAAACAAATACTAAATGTACTGGAAGGAAAACTAAGTAGAATTGTTGAAAACATTGGTGTAGGCAAAGGCTTTAATGAATGATACTCTGCTCACAGGAACTATCACAAAGAATCAACAAGTGGGATCTCATCTTATTAAAAAGCTTTTGCATAAAAGAGAAACCACCAACAGAGTGAAGAGACAACCCACAATGTGGGAAAACATTTTTCGCCAGCTGTCCTCAGACAAAAGATTACTCTAGAATACATAAAGAGTTCAAAAACATCAGACCCCCCCCAAATTTAAAGACCCAATCCAAAAATGGCTATCTGAAATGAATTGAGACTTCTCAGATGAAGTAGAAACAGCAAATAAATATATGAAATGTTCAACATCACTGGTTATTTGAGAGATGCAAAGTAAAACAACGCTGAGATTCCATCTCACTCCAGGAAGAAAGATTTCTCAAGGTCAACTAATAGTAAATGCTGGAGGGGCTTTTGGGAAAAAGGAACCCTTCTCCACTGTTGTTGGAAGTGTAGACTGGTGCAACCACTGTGATAATCAGTATGGAAATTTCTAAGAAAACTAGAACTAGAGGTCCCATTCGACCCAGCTATTCCCCATTTTGGTGTCTTGAAAGAATTAAAAGCATTGTACCACAGGATATATGCACACCCATGTTTATAGTGGCACAGTGTTTAATAGCTAAATCTCGGAAACAGCCCAAATGCTCATCAAGTGGTGAATGGATAAAGAAGATGTGGTTGTTTTATACAGTGGAGTGCTACCCTGCCATAAAGAAGGTTTAAACTTGAGGCATTTCTAGGCAAATGGATGGACCTTTACTCTTAAGTGAAATAAATTGAACACGTGTAAATACTGCATTGTTTCTCTGGTGTGAGAAACCAGAAGTGTAAATAAGGACAAAAATGTATAATAGATATTGTAAAATAGCCAGAAAATGATCAAATGGGAAGGGGAACAGGGAGGGGGGAGATGGAAAGAAATGAAGGGAAAAGAAAATGAGTAAAGAACAAAACAATGGAAACAAAGCTTTTGTAAATAAAGAGAAGAGGGTTTGAAGGGAAGGTAGGGGAATAGGGAAAAAAGATCTATCATGTACAGTTATAAATCTTTTATGATGAATGTGATCATTATACCTACAACATACCAATAAACAATTTAAAAATCTATAAAGATGTAATTCTGTGACATCAACAGATGAAAGGTGTGGGACCTTGGCTACTTATAGAGCCAAATTTTTAAATGATACAGAAATTAAGCTGGTAAAATTCAAGTTATAATGTTAGAACTTTAAATACCATGATCCATCGAACTATATGCTATCTACAAGGGATTCATTTTAGGTCCTAAACATAAATAGTCAGAAAAGGAATAGATAGCACATGAAATTAGTAATCAAAAGCAAGCAGGGACACCTATACTAAAAACAGACAAAATTGACCTTAAATTAAAAAAAAGTTACAAGACACAAAGAAGGACACTATATTAATAAAAGGTTCAATACAACAAGAATATATAACAATTACGATCAAAGTACATAAAATGGAAACTGCTAGAATTGAAGGGAAAAACATTTTATAATAATTGGAGACATCACTCTACTCTCATAATTGGCAAAAGAAGTAGACAATATTAGTAAGGAAATAAGAGGGTTTAAGCAATGCAATAAATCAGCTAGCTCTAACAAACAGAGTACTCCAACAGAATATACATATTCTTCAGTGTATCTGCAACATTTTCCAAAATGTTTAGTTTGGGTTAAGCCCCAAACTAAATCTCAATGGATTAAAAAAAGTTAGATATTATACAGCATCTCTTCTAGAGTCAAGTAGTATGAAATTAGAAATCAATAATAAGGAAAATACATCTGGGTTAGGCCAATCACAGATCCTGTCCCTGGTAAGTGGCCCTGGTGGGGGGGGGGGAACAGCGTGAGACCTAACCAGACCAGAAATTACTGAGAGCTCCTGGGCAACCCTTTAGGGGAGAGGCCAGGCCTCAGGGAAGGGGACCTGGTTGCACTCCTGCCAGCTTTCCTGGTGCCCCTTTCCCCCAGTCAGCCTCTTGCCGACCTTGGGCAGCATCTGAGGATAGGCTGAAGCCTGGCAGTACCACTTCTGGGACCTTTGCTCCGGTCCTGACCCAGCAAGTGTTTTGTTTTTATTTTATGTTTGAACACTATAGAGAATTGCTACAGTAATCTTTTTATATAATGCAAGTTCAAGCAAAAAATCAGCTCATTAAAACAAAATAGAAAAAGGAATGGATAAGATTAGTTTGATTTTTTTTTTTTTTCTGGAGTGACTTCTAATAGTTCTGGAGTAAGTTGATCTTTATTAGTAACTTTAATTATTTTGAACTTATTTGAATATGCAGATACAGAAGCATCAAGTTCAGCCTCCCACTTCTTGCCTTGACTTGACCAGGTGGTTAACAGATGTTCTTTTAGCATAAGCAGGTCAAGAATGACCTGAATCGATGGAAAGACTTGTCCAAGAGGCCCTGTGGTCCAGAGCAACAAACACCCCCAATCTGGACCTTGCAGGCACACGTTTGAGGACAGCAGAAACTGTCAGGGAGTTGACGTTACTTGCTGCATAGCTAGCTGGAGGGCAGATCTAACTCCTAGTTTTGAGCCTAGCCATGCTTCTACACACATATCCTACAGGGCCAGTGAAGTTTCATCTAGAAGAAATCTACTGAATGCAGAATTTTGATTCTCAGTTCTGTTAAAGTCAGCACTTGCTGGTTTGTGAGATACTTTTCCATTTAGGGTGGTTTGCATTAACTATTTACTCAGTAATCACAGCTCACTGTTAGATAAGGAATTTAAATACGACCCTGCTCTTTTGGATAGGAGTGACAGTGTGGTCAGGCCACCTGTAGTCTTTATTTAGGTGAATGATGAACAAATGTAATGAAGGGCAGCCTTTTCCAATAGATGGTCAAGGCTTTGTATTTTTGGATGTATTGGAAGCCATTCTGTACGACTTCTTTGGGTAGTCCTTTTTCCCTCCCTTGAGCTAGGATTCTACAAGGCCATGATGGTTTGTGCAACCCATACTTTATGATAAAAATTGACTTTCCTAAGTGATTATTGCCAGTAGTTGTAGAACCAGTCAGCTCACACAAAAGCCTAACAGCAGAAATGACACAGCAATTTAAGGAGCTCTGGGGAAGAAGCTTTCAATTTTTCATTCACAAAGCAAATCAAGCTTCCTAATTAGCTACACATGGCTGGAAAGCTTAGCTCTTACTGTTCTGCCAATACTTGTTCTCAGATTCCCTGCATGACTGTTGTCTCGGTTACAGGAACAGCTTGGCTGCTTTCTCTCACTCATGTTCGAAGAACTCGTGGCAGGCAGTGGTCACCATGGCAACAAAAGCCATAAATTCCTGGAAGTCACATTCGCCATCTCCATCTTCATCCAGAGTGTCCATGACTTTGTCCACAACCTCCTGTTCTTTGATTTCCTAAGAAAGATAGATAAGAAAAGTTGCCTACCTTGTTTTTTTAATGGGAATAAAGAGCCATGGAAATGTGCGTGAAAGTTGGATGACTGGTAATTTGCATTGCAAATAACCCCAACATAGCGAATGAAAAATGTCATATTTCTTCTGTGGCTTAGGAGTCTGTGGGCCTCATAAGAGTCTCTAGAAGATCTAGGCCTCTCCACCTCCTTACTTTAGGTCCAGTGGGACCGTGATTACTTTAAAAAACAGATGGAATCACCAATATGTGAAAAACTGAAAGGTGTTATTCTTGAAAGCTCTGGAAAAAAGTAATAATCTCTGTCAGCCTGAGAAAATGACTGGAAAGAAGAAATGAACTTTTGGTACTTCTGGTGTGTGTGTGTGTGGGGGCACATAGCAGAATCCCTATTGTAAAGGCTTCCAGCAGATTATAATGTTTTGCTGAAGTAACTTGGAAACATGTCCTTTAATTATTAATTCCTTGTGGTTTTGTTACTGTTTGTTAGGAAGTGTTTTCCTAAAGGTTGTCCTGCTTGAAAGCAAAACCAAATGCATGGTGAGGTAAACACAGGGAAAAGAATGTGGGTATTAAACCCTGTGGGTATTAAACCCTGTACATAAATGCAGATTATTTAGAATAACAAAATTCTAGAACAGGAAAGCTTGTCTTGAAAAAGTTGAGTAGCATGGCTTCTCAGAATGTAAAAGGTTCAATGTACAGGAGTGATTCCCACGGAGTTAGGCTAGGATCTGTAATCATCTACCAAAAGATGAATGAGAGCAGTGTATACCCTTCATGTACATCATAAGTACTACCATTTGGGTTGGTTAGGAGGCCCACATGCTGAAGACTTGGTCTCCTGCCAGTGGCTTTGTTGGGAAGTGGTAGGGTCTTAATAGGTGGGGCCCAGTGGGAGGATGCTAGTCTCAGGAATATGCCCTTCCTCTCTGCTTCCTGGCCACTGGTACCTAAGCTGCTTTTTGCCAACGTGTGCCCTCCGAGATGTTCTCTTCACCACAAGCTCCAAGCAAGAAAGCTGTCCAACCATAGAGTAAAAACTCTGCTAGTCAAAGTAAACCTTTCCTCCTTTGGTTTGATCTTTTCTGGTATTTGTTGTAGGCATGGAAAGCTGTCACAATAACTTTTCTCCTAAACTAAGTCACCATGATAAAACCAGGCCAACAAATGTTTTTGATACTTTGAGATGCTCACTGAGAATTATCATAAATTGTGATTCTTACATGGTAAGCTTTTCCAGTAATCATTAATAACAAATACTTTTATGTAGTACTGTTCTACATTACTCACTAAACACTCTTTCCATCCTTGTCATAGTCTTTTTAAATAGGTGAAGAAACTAGAACTTTTTTATGAAGTCAAAAGCAGAATTGGGACAGGATGACTGAGTGGTCACAGGATAAGACAGCTGTCACCCTGTGAACTTGAATACTTGAGAAAAACAATCCAGAATCAGATTCAAGGATGCTTCCAGCAAGCCTGCAGGCCTGTTGCCTCCAGAGGTAGAGTGTGCCTTTGGGTGGGTAGGACAAGAGAATTATAGACAGTGTGTCTTGCCTTGCTGCTGGAGCCTAGGGCCTGTTGTCCTGCAGGAGACATCTCAGGAGGATGGTGTCCCATCCTCAGGTGACAGGGTCCTGCCATAATGTCATCTTCAGAATTGGCACATAGTTACCAGTATACAGAGTCATTGGCCATTTCTTCTATGTGTGATTAATCACTTGAGTGACTCACAAGGAAGCACATTGCATATCTGCCTTGGAGTGTGATTAGAGCCAGCCTGTGTTCCAGGCACTGAGGGTTTATCAGGTTACAGGTGGATTACAGGTCATTTCCACAGGACATGGTGCTGATGGACAGTGGGTGGCTGGCCCAGGGTCAGTGGGAAGTGGGTCTTTGATACAGGTACGAGGAAGTGCCTACAGCATGGATTTAAGGGGACCCGTGGAGAAGGATCTGGCTCATCAGGAGCCCTCATGCAGTTCTCTGAATAGGGACAGCCCCTTGGCTGCATCTAGTGTCCCAGGTAGTTCCCTCCAAGGACCCAGAACTTCCAAAGGATGTGTAGAGACTTCTGTTGTGTGCTCTGTCAGGTGGTCATTCATCACTGATGGGTCAGGCTGGGTGCTTTGAGAACACAAGCTGTCTGCTGGGCCTGCATATCTCAGTGTGAGTTCCTGAGTACTCAGTAAATGTGTATGGAGTGAACATCTGTATCTTCATCTCCATGGAAATATCAAACACCTGGACAAATCCAAAATGTATTTTTTTCCCTAAAAGCTTATTTTTAACAGCATGTTTATATGTTCTCTTTGGCCTATTTTAAGACATAGTGTTTTTCTATCCCCATTCTGCTGTCATTATCACTTGTAAATCCTTTGATTTTTCAGGGACAGATGGTAGGGACATGGAAACACAGGGACCCTGAAAGCAGCCTCCACACTGAGGGAACTGTCATTCAAACGTTTCCAGAAACAAATCAGGAATCCCAAAACAGTCTTTAGAGCAGCTCAGAAGCAAATGTAAGGTGCTTTTGTAAGTAGGGAGGAAAATTAGCAAATCTGATTTTAAAAAACAAGACTCAGCCCAGCATGATAGCACACTCCTATAATCCCAGCACTTGGGAGGCTGATGCAGGAGAATCCTTTGCAAACCTGAGACCAACCTGAGCTACAAAGTGAACTCAAGGCCAGCCTGAACTACATAGCGAGACCCTGTCTCAAAAAGACAAAAAACAAAAACAAATAAAAAAACAACCCCCAAAAAACCCCAAACAAGACTCACCTCTAGGAAGTGGGAAAGCTCATTGTTGATGAGCTCCTTAAGTTCAGATTTCTTCAGCTTGTGCTTGTCACCTTCTCTTCCAGAATATTGATGGAAAACGTCAATGAGGGCCACCACAGCCTTCTCCAGCTCAGACATCCTAGGGACCCACAGAGGGAGAAATGCCTCCTCACGCTCGCTGCCGTGTGTGTACACGAGGTGCTCATGTGTTACGACCTTAGTCTGCTGAGGGGTAGGCTGGCCTGGGCTAGTCTCTTGAGGCCTGGCTGCATAGAACGTCCTGGGAGTCTACACTTTTATCATACACTTTGCTATGCATTTTAGCTCCTCTCCTCCCTGTACCCTGTGGCCTATGGGATAAGCCCCCTAGCCTCTGTCTTCTGGTTGGTTCAATGGGAAGCTTTGGCAACAGCACCAGGAGAGAGCAGCTAGGAATTCAGGGTCAGATTCCTGCTTCCTCCTCATGGTCTTCCCTTCTCCCTAGCAGGGTATCCAAATGGAGTAGTTTGAGGGCAGACTGGACTTGGAACAGAAAGGTGAGTAGGAACAAATCAGCATGTAAAAATAATAGTACCCTTCTATTAATAAAAATTAGAAAGGCCAGTTGTGGTCGAACATGCCAGTACTTCTAGTTGGGACACTGAGGCAGGAGGATTGCTGGAAATTTGACACCAGCCTAGGCTACATAATACATTCAAAGCCAACCTGAACTACATAGTGAGACCATCTCAAAAACGATTAAAAAATACAGTAGCAAGTATACTGTATATTACAATAACTTATCAAGATTTAGGAAGAAAAATTCAGATTTTCCAAAAGAATTAAGTAACAAAGTGTAGGGGTTTATCTTCCTTTGAGTTTATGTATATATTTGAGCTATTTTAAATAAGGATATATGTAAATAATATTTAATGGGTGAGGAATATAACAAAAACAGCTGTAAAATTCATCTGGAAAAATAAGAATTGCCATATTAAAAAAAAAAAAACAAAACAATGAGCGGTGTTTGATCTACCAGAAATAACTATTTAGAGGCTCCAAGATGAAGCTAGTATTCCAACATGGTAGCATAGCAGAACCACCTTATGGTCCTGGAGATGCCTGCTTAGGACAGGAATGGTGGCTGATTCACCAAAGCAGGAACAGTGCAGAGCAACTGAGAAACTTCCTGTATCCCTCACAGTGGATACCTGATGCTGTGCCATAGGGTATCAGCTCCATTCTGGGACGGCAGCACACCTGAGCAAGGATGCTGGTGGCTTGTCTCACAAAAACAAGCTGCTTAGGCAGGGAAGCTTGCTAACTTTAGACCTTGAGTTCTAATTATTAAATAAAAACTTTTGTGCTATCATATTTTTATTTAAAAATTAAATATTGTTGAAAAATATTTCCCATGTTAAATTTATCACATCTTAAAATAATTTGTAATAAAATGCTTATAATTTTATTTCTGTTCTTCTAAAGAAAATGGCATTGAAGATTTTTTATCATGGCTTGAACTTTGCTAGTCTTCCTATTAATGATCAGTGTGTTATGTTTTGCTCTGAAGTCCCTAAAAAATCTAATTTGTCATGTACCAATAGTACAATTCAGATGGACTAAAACATTTAACATTTCATATTCATTCTTTGCACTCAAGTTTTCAGCTTTTTTAAGCTATAAAACAAAATCTCAAAAACCTTTGCATTATTCTCATTCTTAAAGTCTATGAAAACAGGGATTTGGGAAAGTTAATTATTTTTCTATGAATTATGACTTAATAGTATGTTTAAGAAGAAAGGGCACAAAAGTTTTTTAAAAAGAAGAAAAGGTATGAAACATACACTTCATGTTCTAAAACAGTCCTTCAAATTTGGTTTCTTCATAACTGTACTACAGATTAACTAAAAAAGTTTTCCTGTAAAATTCTTCCCTTGAGAAATAGTTGGTAGTTCATAAGTTATTTTTTAAGGTAAATGGACATTAATATCTATATTTTCTTCTTACTTCAGTCTGTGAATGTTTCCATCAATCTTTTTATATTCAAAACAAGAACATTTGGACCTTTAACATCTTGGAGTGATACCTTCCATATCATGTGAGGGGCCCTCCGTAGAACGGACTTTCCTGTCTCCTAATCTATGACTTAGGAAGAGTAAAACCTAGGGAAAAAATCCCAATTTCTTCCACCTATTTCATAACTTGTAATTATTTATAAAGACATTCTCAGTTGTCATATGATTTCTGGGGATGTGAGGACTCTGGCATTCAGAAAGAAGGAAACTGCAAAACCAGGGTACAGTTACCCAGAGCCATAGAAGAGGCAACTAGGAGGAAGGTAAGTTGGGGTTAACCTGGCCTTAGGCTCAACAGCAGCCCTCAGCCCTGGAGGGAAGCAAATTTTTACCCTTTGTGGAGAAGGAGCAGTGTTTGTGGGAAAATGTCAACAGTCACGTCTGAGCTACTAGACCTGGAGTTCTCTGGTTTATAGAAATAAAAATGGCAAATGGATCTGTAGCTGTCTGATTTTAATATAGTCAAGTGTCAACAAAGCAGCAACAACATCAACAGTAAAGTTAGGCCAAAAATACATATACCAATAGCAGTTTTGCAATGTCACCAATTGATCCAAAGGGGCTTTTTAAGCTACTACTCAATTTCCAGCCAGAGTCCTTGAGTCCCCCACCCCGCTCACAAAGAATTTTTTTCTTTAGCATCCTCAGCCAGGGGTTCTCTCACCTCCTGATCACCTCTTCAGTGGCAGCGTCTCTGGCTACAGCGTCCTGAGCAGCTGGGGCAGAGACAGAGGCAGTCTTTTATTCCTTCCTCCTGGGGAGGTTTGGTGAGGGCCCTGGCACAGTCCTACTGCAGCGTGAGGCAGCCAATGGGGATGGAGGGCAGGGAGGTGGGGAGGTGGCAAGGCAGCCAGATCCACACACAGGCTGCATTGACCAATGTTCCAGGGGACTTGCTGGGCAGCCAGATTGTACATGGTAAGAAAGAAAGGGGCAGGAAGTGGGGAGTCAGCTGTTATGCCTTAAAAAAAAAACTTATTACATAAATACTGATGTTCTTCTAAAGCCAAAGTGGGGGTGGGGAGAAACTGGATTAATTGGTTCTAACAGCAAATGTACAGCCAAGAGCTAGAAGCTTACAAATGCTGACTGAATGTGAGAGATTGGGTGGCCTGTGCCTGGTTTCAGCATACAGCCCATTGAGCTCCTCTTCCAGCTGTCAGCTTCCAGATTGGTGTGGCACCTGATGGATGTTAGGATTGCAAGTGATTAGTCCTGGGCCACATGGGACTTCTCTAAAAGCTGCCAAGCTCAGTGTCTGCATGAAAATTGGCAATACGTTGGTTTTTAGGGAAACTCCCTTGTTTAAGTTGATTGAAGACACATGCCAGCTGCGCCTCCTGGCTTTTCATGTCATTCTAGTTGAAGTTCACAGGCTGTCCAACCTGGACATGCTTTGGATATGTCACATCCAAATGCCTGTGTGTGCTCCTCATCAGGGCCCTTGGTCAGCCAGCTGCTCATCTTTAGCTGCACCTGAACTGAGTCTCCGTGCCTGTGCCCTGGGAATGGCACACATCCAGGAGATTGTCTCAGTCTGGAACCCACTGTGTCCCCCATATCTATATGAGCACACACTGTGACCCCTACTTCTTCACCTGCTTCACTATGTTTAGTGAAGAGTCCGGCACATGCTTGCTCTGTGATGCACAGAACTTGCCTGAGTCTGAGGAAGAAGCAATGGGATCAAGGTGTTGAATGTGGGTGAGGCTATTCCTGCAAATGGGACCTGGACCCTGGATCCCCCCAGTGTACACACGCATACTTTAGCCTACTTCCTGGGGCCTACGATGTTCTGCTCTGGGAGCCAAGCAGGCTGCCCTCTGCGCAGAGCTTCCCCAGCTTCCTAGGTATCCCAGGTGGTACTGCACCCATCTGTGCCAGGCTGCCACTGAAGGGCTAAATGACTGGGGTTGTAAAATTATCACAGACCTATTTAAGCTAACCTCTTGCCCTGTGCTGAAGTTCCATGGATTGTGCAAATGGGAAGTACTGCCAGCAAAGCCAAGTGGAGACTTCAACTGTAGCTACAATGCCGTGGAGAGATCCTTTCCCCATCCTCATTGATCTCCAAAAAGTTTAAATTTGTAGTACCATGGAAATGTTATTGGAATTCTAGCAAGTCAATTCCAATCTATCACTGCAGTGCAACCCATGATGAGAATAAAGGCATTGAGACATTTATAATTATAGGGAGTTAAGGGGTCCTGAGTCTGGCCTGGATAACAGTTCAGCAGAACAAAGGCCATGACCCAGAATCTAACCCAGATCTGAGACTCCCCTTGTGTTATGGTTTGTATCCAGGGGGCCTCTCCCAAGCCTCATGCAGTCATAGATACGGCTGAGTCTGGTGTTTGTGCTTGGTTCATTGTCTGGTGCTGGGATTGGTGGTGTGAGTGCTGTACCTGCTCAGAGGTGGAGCCAGCATATAGTGTAAAAGCAGGAAGGAGATGTGCTTTGCTGTCTCTTTTTTGCCCTGTTTGCTCTTGCTGTTTGTGGTGGCTGTGAATGGCTACCCTGCCATGCCATCGTGCCTTGGCACCAGCTGATTATGGACTGAAACCTCCACAGTGAGCTAAATAAACCTTTCCTCCCTTCCTTTTGAGTGCCAGGTGTTTTGTCCCAGCAACGAGAGAAAACTAACAAAGACACCTTGACAAGCTCACCATAGGAGGGATGGTATCATGGGAGGAATGTGAGCAAGAGGTGGAGATGCAGTGATGAAACAGGAACCCAGAGTTGGGGTTCTTTCATAACTACTCTTGCAAAAGCAGCATTAATCTCTTTACAGGGCAATGTCCTATGACCTAGACACCTCCTATCAGGCCCTATATCTGTCTATAATCTATCATCTATTTGTTTATTATTCATCCATCTAACTTTTTTTAACAGTACTGGAAATCAGACCCAGGGGTGCTACCACCAAGCTACTGTCTGAGCCTCTTAGTCTCACAAAATTGCTGAGGTAAGAGTTAAACTTATGATCTCAGTTTGTAATAGCCAAATCTTAGAAACAGTCCAAATGCCCATGTGTTGTAGTCAGGGTGTTTGACGAAATTGAGGACACATACTTTTATAGGATTATTTTATAATATTCACCCAAAAAGTCAAATGCAGAAGAGTGCAGGAGATCTGTTCACACACTGGAGACCCAAAGAATTCAGCTGAGGGCCTGGCTTCCACAGCAATGTACTGCAGGAGTCCATCTGAAGAATTAAGAGCCCATGGCAGTGTCCTCCGAGCAAATCCAACTCGAGGCCTAGAGCCCACAACAATGTCTAATGCAAGTCTGTATGAAGAATCTACACTTGAGGGCCGGAGGTTTAGCCCAGTAGCACAAGCACCTACCTGGGAAGCAGAAGGTTGTGAGTTCAATCTCCAGTACAAAAAAAAAAAAAAAAAATCTGCACTTGGAAGGCCTGAAGGCCAGGTGGAAGCTAGAAAGTGTGCACCAGTGGGATAAAGGATCTATGCCACTAGGCTGAGGGATCTGCACTGGAGCCAAGCAGTGACACTTGTAGCTAAGGACCAAAGGACCAGAGCTCTCCACAAAAGAACCATAGACATCCTTAGCAATAGTGAAGACCTGAGCTCCACTGACAATGAGAATAGCTGGGTTCATATCAGGAAAAGCAACATGACAAACTCCTCTAGGAGAATCAACAGCACATCATTTTCCCCTCCAGTTCTGCTCTTACGCCATTGTAACAATCCTGAGGTACGTTTTTCATACCCAAAACCATGCTGATTCAGTTCAGCTGAGTGTTACAAGTTGACCATTAGCCAGTCTATCAAAGCCTTTCCAAATTAATTCTCAAGGCTTTAGAGCCACGTGGCCAGGCAGCATCACAATGGCCCCACTGTCTTAGTTATTCTCTCTGGCTGCTTTTGCTGTCTTCCGCCACCATGAATGGGTTGACCCTCTGCCATGTACCACTCTGCCTTGGAGCCAGCTGATCATGGACTTAAACCTCTACTATAAGCCAAATAAACCTTTCCACCTTTAACTCTGGGTTTGGATATTTTGTCTCAGCAACAAAAGAGAAGTAACTAAGACAAATACAATGGAGTACTACTCTGCTATAAAGAAGGAAAAATGATACTTTTTTTACTGTTTAAATTTTTTAAAATTTTATTTAAAGAAAGACTAAACAAAACAAGAAATGGGTAGAAATAATACATACATTCAAAGGAAAAATAAACAGTAAGAAATCACTAGTTGATGTGTACATACTGTCCTCCTACAAATAGTTGTTCAAGATACAAAAGTGGAACATATAAAGTGGGAATTCAAACAGCGAGACTGCAAACAGTTCAACTATCCAACAAAAACTTAGTAATATGGTTATCAGTCCTATATACTTAAACATACATGCAGTTATCCATATCTTCATTTATGTTGAGATTAAACAAACTAAAGCAGGCTAAAATCATTCTGAACAAAGAATAATAGTATTGCTGGATTTCACATCATGACACTCAGGGATCAGCACTGGGTACTGTAGTGTGTTTTTAATTTTATTTAAAGAAAGACAAAACAGAAAATGTGTAGAAATAATACATACTTTCAAAGAAAAAATAAACAGTAAGAAATCACTACTTGATTACAGATTGTCCTCTTACAAATAGTTATTCAAGATACTAAAGTGGAGCATATAAAGTGGGAATTCAAACAGTGAGACTGCAACCAGTTCTGTTCAACTATCCAACAAAAACTTAGAAATATGATTATCAATCCTATATACTTAAACATACATGCAGTTATCCATATCTTCAATTATGTTGAGATTGAACAAACCCAAGCAGGCTAATATCACTCTGAACAAAGAATAATACTATTGCTGGGTGTCACATTATGACACTCCAGGATCAGCACTGGGTACTTTAGTGTCTCTTTTTCTTCAAAGTATTTGTCCATTTCATCATGTGTCATAAGATCAGTTCTCATAAACTGTTCTACACATGCATGAGTCTTAAAATATATTTTTATCCTTTCTGTATTAGAGAAACAAAACAAAGCAAGACAAAACAAAACATATTCCTATAAACACATGAAATGAAAAAAAGACATATAAGACCGTTGTACAAGGAGTTCTACCACAGTTCCTGTGTTGTCTCTTGTTATCTTCAATAGAATTGGCTACATCATCAAGCATAGTATAATTGAATATATCAGTACATAACAGTATTAATAAAAACACAACTTTGTATATAGTATAAAACTTCAAAAACAGGCAGTAATCAAACCAAAATGTGTATCGTAGTGAGTCTTGTCATCTTCAGTGTAGTTGTCTATACTCTCAGACTTGATAATATCAATCACATCAGTTTTGGATAAAATCTGTCAAGACCAAACAGCAACCAAACAAATCATATTTAACTAAGATCAGTCATGATAAAACAGTATAAGTCATATAGGGCTCCAGACTTGGTAGGAAATTAAAGATGATTACTGTACTATATCCTGATGTTTTTGGGATAGCTATCTGTGCCCTCAAATCTAAAGCAAGTAGACAAACTGGAACAGAATAAAATCTATCTAAGCAGAGTGGTGCAAGTAATGTGGGTTTTAAATCCTGATACACTATTAACAATATCTTCTGCCATCTTTCTTAAGACTCTCCCTCCCCTTTCACTTCCCCAAGGTACACTGTGTATTTTTGGGTCTCATCAAGACCCTTGGTTTTAAATTGGGGAGGGGGGGCAACCTGCTATTTACCTAAGTGGTACCAACCCTTCTCTCTCCTGGACTTGATCTCTGATTGTATTCCTTTACCTATTAAAGCCTGTCTTTCCAACCTATCCACAAATATTGGTCTAGTTGCCCCTATTACTCTCTGGTTCTCTATCACATAGAACATTGTTT